TAAAAGCCATTCCAAATAGGGCTATCGAAAAAGAGCAAGAATTATCTGAAAAAGAGCAAGAATTAGCCAAATTAAAAAAGAAAATAAAACAAAAAACTAAAACTTTAATTATTTTGGCTCACCAAGAGGAAAAAAGAACGGAATTAATACGCTCTTTTCGTAATTTGGCTTATGTAAATCTTACTGAAAGCAGGTTATTAAATACAGCACAAATTTTACCTTTTAATTCACTTATTTTTACCCAGTCGGCTTTTTCCGAAGTAGAAAAAAGGTTGAGTTAGAGAAAAAAAACATATAAAAATAAATTAAGTAGGCAAATCCTACGCAAATAATAAAATTAAAAATAATAATAAAATCATGTCAGAAAAAATAATTAAATGTGTTAAATGCCAAAATAATGCGGAACAAGACTGAAATCGTTTTAGAGATGAATATACTACGAGTTATCCGATTAGAGACAAGGATGGAAAAATCTACTGCTGAGATTGCTACAAAGGTTTCTCCGGCTGTCAAGGTTGTGGAAAATCAGTGGCTAATTTGAAGTTTCCGAAAAGTGGAAATCCAACTTATCCTCATTGTAATGGAGGTTATAGTAGCCAATGTGAACGAGTAAGCAACAAAGTTGAGTTTATTTGCTCGAAGGCATGTTCGAAAAAATTAGCCGACCAAAAATACCAAGCCTGAAAAGAAAAATTAAATCAAGGTTGAACCAAATGCGAGGAATGTTGGAGATTTTGAAGCGAAGAATGGAAAGAAACTAAAATTAACGAATGAATAAAAGAGGAAAAGAACCAGCGAGGGTTTATAAAATTAGTCCAGCCCGGGCAAGGAAAATTATGTTCCGAACATAAAGAATGAGAAGAAAAAGGTAAACAAGAATACGAAAGAAAAAATGCCGAATATCAAAATCGCTGGGAGGGTCTTTCTCCGGAGGAAAAGTTAATTGAAGTCAAAAAAGAGTATCGGTATGGTGAAAATGTTACTGAACTTGCCACTCGTTCTGCAATACCACCCTCGGTATTATCTAAATGACGAAATAAAGATAGCCACCGCCGACATAATTGTCCGGACTGTCAATTAGACCGCGAGCCAACTGGCAATGATAACAACTTTTCTAGTGCGAGCAGTGATATTGGTTCAGAAAGCAATAAACAAGGAGGAAAAAACGATGACAGTTCAAAAAACCAGCGGAATCGAGGTCATTACCAATTAGAAAACAATTCGCCGGAAAATAACTCGACTGGCTTAATCATTGGTGGAGCAGTGGCGATTTCTTTTGTCTTATTCGCTACTTTTTTAGTGATAAAAGGAAAAACCCAGCCGGGAAAGGGGTGAAAAAAAAATTTACCAAAAAATTTGCCAAAAAAAAAAAATTTATTAAAAAAAACCAAACAGATACAATATTCCCAAATTTTCCAAAAAATAAAAAAAAATTAATAATTAAAAAAAAAAAAAATTAATAAAGTAAAAAAA